CTGAGCTTGTAAAACTATGTCTAATGATATAAGTTGGCAGCTGGGATACTTTACTGTGAAGGCTTATCCCATTAGAAATCCTTTCATCATCATCTGTGCATATCAGCTTTATCAGCAATATGTAGTGCTGGTTGCTGAAGCACCTGAGGTATTTAAATTAAAAACATTAATACATGAGGTATTAAAATTAAATTACCTCACATACTTGCACCTTCTCCAGTTGAACATGTTTTTAAGGAACAGATACCTTTGTTTCCTGCTTCACAGAAACCACTCACCAATGAACTAAAATCCTTTTCTCCAATTTTTAAAGGAAAGGTATATCTTAAATGCACTTTCTGAGAAAGCAGCTTTTAACCATCTGGGTGTACTTAATAAAGGAGATTGCAGGTTGCAAATGGAAAACTCAGCTATTTAGAGAACTCGTATGTCCCAGTTAGGATAAGAGAATTTTTTATCAGCTCTTCCGCATAGACTTAAAAAGATTATATGGCTTAGTCTTTCTTCATATCTGAATATTTTTAGCTCCTTGGAGACCAGATTGCAGCATCTGATTTCCATTATATTTTTTTTAAAGTAAGGAGCTGATGGTTATATCTTGATCTAGTTTACATTGTTTAAAGGAAGGTGCAAGGTGTGAATTGCAGGCAGATAACATATGGAGATTTTATAGGGGCACACAGCTTAGTAGCATTATATATGTAAAACAGAAAATTGTAGGAAAAAGCAGGTACATGTCTCTGAATATATGTTGAATGCACATCTGATTTTTCTGATCTCATGCTCTTGTAAAAACTGTATCTCTGTGTGAAATGCACCAGTGTGTTTCTGAGGGAACGCAAGAACACAGATGAGAAGACTGCAATGTGGAGAACATATGTGGATGTTTTTGAGTTTTATATTTAATACAATAACGGAAGATTCTTCTGGGTGTCACTAGTCTTGAATAATGTGCCTGTCCTAACTCGTGCTAAGAAGGTATTCATACCGCATGGCATCATCTTATGTCCTTTCCTTTTGAGAAGTGGATTGTGTGTTACATGAAGGTACATAAAGAGTCTAGCAGCTATTACAGAGATTTATACGCCAAGTGAGCTGAGCAAGCTGATGCTCGATGCCTTCTCCAGAAGGATTGAAAGGCTGCAAAAGGCGATCGACTACTACCAGTGTTTTCAGCAGAAACCCTAACATTTTGCGTTCTTATTATAAGTACCAAATCTGACAATTCATATGATAGTGTTTAAAATTACTGTTGTTTGTGTTGAAAACCCTTCTTTTGACTTTGCTGTATAGTTTTTAAGTGAACTTTTGAAAGTTGTAATACATTAGTTAAGGGGCAAAGGCGAAGAGTTCTGCAAATGTCCAAGCAGTACATCCCAGCTCTAAGTGCTCTCCAAAAAATCAGAGTCGTGTTCTGTGTCTTTCCTGGCTCAGTACCCTGTTTTTGTAATTCTGCTGCTTTATCCCTACCGTCCTCTTCCCTGTGCACACTGCTCTTGGAAACCTTGGAAAAATCATGAATTAATCAGTTCTGTATTAAGGAAACGTAACTGTATACTGAAAGGAACACAAAGCAATCAAGTATTTCTTTCATTGTATTGAAACGAAAAAAAGTATCAATGCCCTGGGCAAAAAACCTTCTTATTAATTCCCGTAGGGAAGGAAAATAATTCAGGTCTGGCATAGAAGAGAACTGTAGGTGTTTTGCAGTCTTTCCCAGTGTTCATCCTTCAGCAGTTTCAGTGTGAATTTGAAGCTTAGGTCCCTACACAGTCAGTTCTGAAAAGCCAGTTATTAATTTCTCTGATGTTGTACCCCTTAACCATCCTGCAGGATGGAGTGATTATTATTATTTAATCACATGGTATCAATTTAAGCATGCTTTATATCAACTTAAAATTGATAGAGGTTTTATATTAATTTAAATCTACTTTGCACTAAAACCTCTGCCTTTGGGGGCCAAATTTCAGTCATGTGAAAAAAGTAGTCATGAAATATTTTATTTCCATATGGTAGATTCGGTCACTATTCTGAATTTTTGCTTGAGTTTTAAGTTTCTTGAAATTATTACTACATTTCAGTCAGATGGCTAAGTAGGCAATGTGTCTGCTATTTCCTGAAGTCAGATCTTCTGTTAAAAAACATATTCTATGAAGTTGTGCAATCACGTTCGGTTTGAGTGCGGCCACTGCGCAGTAACGAGCGCAGCAAAAGTCAGTAAAAATCTTTCATTTATCTCTTTAGTTTTTGATCTCTGTCAGAGAAAATGAAAGCAAGAACCTTGTCTAACTAATGATAGCAGTTAAGAATTTGAGAGAGGATTTTCAGGAGGCAGAGAGAATAAATTCCTGTAGGTAGCTGGCTGGAGGCGTTTTCAGTCAGGTGTAAGTATAATGAGTAAAGGCATACGTGTCCTTCCCCAGATACGCTTACCTTATGTGACAGCTCAGTGCCCTAAATTTCTGTCTTTGGATTGTCCTCCTAAGGTCAGAGTTCTGTTTTTCTTCCGTGAGCCGCATCTACACAGCGGGCCCCTGATCCCCTGTTGAGTTCTGCAGCACTGCCGCATAAATGTTTAATACTGCAAATGGTGATAAAGATGCTATTTATATTTTCTCCCACTTCTAACATTTTCCTCTCTTTTTCTGTCATTTTTTACATGCTTTCTTGGGTATAGCAGACCATTTAGGAATTGAATTCATGGGTAAGTTTTCACTTCTCTTTTTCACATGCTAATATTTATCTTGACCCAAAGCACATGGAAGTTAGCGGGAAGGTGCTCATGCACTCCATCAGTGAGTTTGGGCTTTGAGAACGCTTCCTATTATATTTACTGGTTACATCTGAAATTGTATCAGGATTTCATTTTTCACTTGTGCATTGTTGGAGGGCTAAAAACTACATAATGACATTTGGATATTTTATTATTTTTTAATAAAATGTAATATAAAGATTATATGGCCATATCATGATATCTAAGGAATAATATTTTGTATTAGATTTTAGAAAAGAGCTAATGCCTTTCTTGATGTGAAAGAAAATACATTTTTAACTTTTTTTTTCCCAGAATTTGGTGTTGACTGCAGTATTAAAATGTAACTAGGTTTAATATGAACCATTTCATTTGCTCTTAACAGGCAACTTGGAAGGATATTTTCAAGAAAAATGACAAATAAGTTAACTTCAGTTTAGTGAAAAACTTAAACAGGAATGAAAAATTAGTCAGAAGAATCCCTTCTTACAAGTTTGAAAGGGAAAAACTGTGTTCTCTTGACTCAAATGCTGCCCTGTAATGTATACGTAGCCTGAGGGACTGATAGGCTTAATAAGGCAATGTTTCACCTTTCAGCTGCTGTGCAGCAGAAAACAGGTGATTTCTTCTAAAAAGCCGAGGCTAGTCCTTAGCAAAGTTAGTGAACTTAGAGTATGATAAGCCCTATTTATTTATAAAGAAAAACCTCCTTTTTTAAAAAAAAGGTTAAATTCTAATTTACTGAATATGAACTCATAAGTCTGTGTTGTAAAATAACAGTATTGAAACTTGAACCAAAATTCTCTCTCATGTAAACAATCATACTCATTTGGTTTGTTGGGGTGTTGTCTGCCAAATAAAAGTTTGCACAGCTTCAAAGGGCAGAGTGTACAAACCTGTAACCAAGTCAGAGCAGCTTGTAAACAAAACCAATGCGTAACCAAGTGACTACCTGTCCAGTGCAGCGCAGACTGGAGGCTGGCAGCCAGTCCTTGCTGTTAGCCCAGTTCCAGTTCTTATAGGGCTGCTTGAACTTCAAATTCTTCGGCCAGATGGAAATTACGTATTATGAAGTTTTGCTCTGCCGCAGTTCCTTTACTACTGTTTGCTATACGGGGTAGCCTTATGTTTCCTTAATCAGTTCTGTATTCAACCCTCAAAAGATCCCTCTCAATCTCAGCTTTTAAACTGGGTGGATGGAACATAATCCCTTTTAGTGGAGGGGCAATGTCAGCAGATGGAAAAGGCCAAGTGGACAGTGTAGTTAGCCCCTTCTCAGGGTTACTCCAGAACAGCAGTCTGAGACAGGTCTGTTTGACTCTGCATCAGTAGGGCTGAAATGTAGCTCAGTGGAACAGAAGAGCTCAATATTCTTATTTTCAGTCCAGGGAGTTGATGTTCTGGCAACAATACAGGCAGTGCTCTGGAGAAAAAATTGTAGCCTAATTGTAAGTGATAATATGGGGCACTCTGAGCATGAGTTGTCTCATTGGACCTATGCAGTGATGAATATTAACTGCATACCAGACTGCATTAGCAACAGTGTTACCAGCAGTTTGAGGATTTTTTTCCCTTTACTTTCATACTTGTGTGGCATATCTGGAGAACTGTCTCCTGTTTTGGGTTTTCCAGTAAAGAAGAGACACTGACTCTCTGGAGTGGGTCCAGTGGAGGCCCACCAAGGTCATTAGGTGGCTGGAGCTCATGACATAGAAGGGAGGGCTGAGGGAGCAACGTTTCTTCAGCCTGGAGAAGAAGAGTTTAAGACAGCATCTTACTTCTGTCTACAAATGGGTACTTACAGAGAAGATACCGTCAGACTCTGTCGAGGTGCTGAGTGAAAGCACAGGAGGTGCAGGACACAAGCTGCCTCAAAAAGAAAAATTGCAGTTAGGTTTTTTTTTTTTTGATTTCTTCACTATCAGAGTGCTCAAGCATTGGAACAGGTTTTCCAGAGAGACTGTGGAGCCTCTGTGGTTGGAAACTTTTAAAACTCAGCTGGACTGGCCCCTGGTGCCCTAGTCTTACTGGGAGGTTAGCCCTAGTTTGAGCAGGGGGTTAGACAAGATGGCCTCTAGTGGTCCTTTTCAACCTAAATTATTTTGTGATTCTCTGCACCCTAAAGTTTAGTATTTCATTTCACTTTACATGAAACTTTTAAAATCCCAGTGGAATTGATGGAAGTAACACAACTAGGAACTAGTTCCATTAAAGGTTCTGCGTATATCCCAGTTTCACTGCTTAATTTAAATTGTAAGCAGAAATCTTGAAGCACATGACCTGAAGGATAAGCATAGGCACTCTAGGAAATAGTATAAGGAAAATATATGTAGGAGTCTTAGAAATTGAGTCCTTCCATAGAAAGCCAGAAAGTGCTCTCCATGAGGCAAAGCTAAATTATTTTATTTTGAGCATTTTAGTTTCCTTTTTTAGGATGTCTCTTTAAGGCTCGAAATAAAGCTAGGCCCTGAAGTCTTGGCTCAGAGAAATCCTCTCATATGAGAAGCTTGCTGATTGTCTGATATAAAACTGGAGCAGATCTTGATTGTATAGAAATTAATGAAATCTTGTGTCTCTAGATTGGAAATGTTATGATAGAAGTCTAAGATGAGGCTTAAAATGTTTTTCTGTGGACTGGAAAAAAGCAAATTCCAAAATCATACACAAAAGTAAAATGCTTATGTTTCTCCAAGTCTATTCCAATCTTTTTTCTTTTTTAATTACTTAGGAAGTCTAAACAAATATGGAATCATTACTGTACACATATCCAAATACACTTAAGCACTTCTTTGTATGCAGAGACATCAGGTGACAATACACGCTCATCGAGTTAGTACAGTCTTTGCAAAGCCTTTTTCATGAGTTTACTTCTGTACTGTAGAAAATCAAATTGCAAGTAGTGAGAAAAGCAGAATTATTCCAGTTACCAAAAAATAACAACATTTGACTGTTGCAGAGCTTAGTCTTTATTGTACATCATGCAGGGCACGTTCTTTCTAAGGTTTTCTTAGTATTTGTTCATATGCTTTAGGAATTCAATTTCTGTCATCTTTCTGGCAATTCTGCTTTTGAAGTTCCCCTGTTCTTTGAGGGAAATAGTGTTAACCTTGACTTTTAAAGCGGAACTTTCGCATTTGGTACCTTCACTTTGATTTTAAAAACTGATAATGAGACAAGGGAAGATACCACTGCACTTTTTGTTAGAACCATTTTGCAGCTGGGTAAAATGAAGAAATAATCACAAACGCTATATGAAAAGTTAAGTGAGAATTTGGACACATGCCCTAATTTTGAAAAGTGTTTTCACAGTTTTTTCACAAACTTGTTTTATAAGTGAATACCATGGATTTATGAAGGCAGGTTGAACGCGTTGCAGTCAGTAAAGCTGAAATGTCACGTGGATGGGAACATCTGTCTACGGAAATGCCCTCCTGGGGCAAACAAACAGCCCATGTAACTCAGTTGTGCTCTCTCAGGCAAGCCCCTGCACCTGGCCATTTTTTGCCAGACCCCCCAGAAGGTAGAATGATTGTATTCAGGACACTGGACTGTACCTACCTGCCTAGTCTTTTTACTGTCCTTTTAGGGGTCTGTTGTCCATGAATTTGTTTAAACCTTTTTTGAGCCTGCCAATACTGTCTTCCACCACAAGCTCCTGTGGCAGCAAGGCTCAGGAGTTTACTACTTCTGTAACGTGTGAAGAACTTTTCTGTTAGCTGTTTAAACCCACTTCCTCCTAGATTCTTTAACTGAACTTTAGTTCAGGATATTGTAGGATTTGGTGAACAAGAGTTACACGTTCACTTTATCCACCACAATTACGGTTTTGTTAACCTCTATCATATTCCTGCACCGCCTCCCTCTTTTGGATATTACCTAACTTATGTTTCATATGATACTGTATGTTCCCAAATACACGTGCTCAATACATTAATATTGATGCTGGCTTTGGTTTGCAGTGTCCGTTTCTTCATATGTGTTAGAGAGATGTGGACAGATTCTTGTGTCATATCTGTTTTAAAATATTGCAAGTGTAACAACAAATGCATGCTTCTGATGTAGGCACATGCAGCTTCTATTGAATTCCTGTTGGATGCCCTGCGTATGCTGGGTGGCCGTGTGGGCAGTATGTCTTTAAACATACTTTTAAGTATTGTAATCATAGCGACCAAGCTTTATGAAATTTCTGAAATGCTCTACAGTTTCTAGTACCTCAGAGAAAAAGAAAGAAGTCTTATATGTGATTGATATTTATGAGAACTAGATTCAACCTCCGTCTCTGATGTGGTCTTCTGGAAAGACTTTGGGCAAGATATTTTAATCTCTCTGTGCCTTACTTTCTCATTTATAGTAATTTTTTTCAGGCTTTCTGCATTTAGATACCTCAGCTCTCATGGGCATCTCTTTTGGTAGTGCATAAGACAGAAACCTTGTCTCCCTTGCAAGAGGGTGCAGACCCTCCCTCTTCCTTGCCCGTGCTCCTGGGTTCCTCTTAAGAGAGAACCCAGCTGGGTGCACAGGAGAATAACGTACAGCTCCCTTGGTAGGGTGCAGGCCTCAGATTAGCCTGTGCTTCTGGGGACCAGGACTTCAGCATGCACTGTGGAGTTTACTGGCCCCGGAGTATGGTGGTAGATCTGATCTGGATTGGTGCATCTTTCTGTATGGTTCCCAAAGTGTCTTACCAATGATAATATATGCAGTTTTATTTAAATTCCCAGCACATAGGTAGGCAAATGCTGTCATAATGTTCTTGCAAACCAACTAGAAGTCAGTGTATTAACATTAACAGTTTCACGTCTAGAGGTTCACTGTTGGTAATGCTTGTGTGGGGGAAGAGCATTTGTAACTAATGAGAGAGCTTGAAAGAAGTGGCTTTTACTCTGTGAGAAAACTAAATGATCTATTGTTAGCATCAAATAGTTTGGGAATATAAGTATATGCAGCTTATTATAATTTCTTTGACCCAAATGGTTAACCATGCTTCAAGGCTAAACGTGCTTTTTTGTAGTTGTTGTTGTAGTTTTGTCTGATGGAAAAATTGATGGTAGAGCCAAAAATCTCTGATAACACAATATGGATGAGAGATTACATTGATTTAAAAGGCACCATTCGTTAGCCAAGTTGTGGAAAGCAACCTTATGCATGCATGTCCCAGGTGCAGAGTAAAATCATTGTTTTAACTACAAGATTCAAGGAAATGCAAAAACCTGGGAGTGATGTTTGAGAATAGGGGTGTTCTGGGCAACAAGGCATTTGGTGCCAGAGACAAGGACTCATCCATTTTACTCATTTCATTCATGTTCGCTTTCATGAGAAATGAGTAGAGTTAAGGTGTGTTGAGGTGTGGAGCATGAAGGTGAGTGAGTTTTTGGAATAACCTGATACGATACATGAACAAACTTGACTATTTCAGCAGTTCATCCACAACACCTAATCTGATAATCCAGAATCTTTGTCCTCTGTTCTGGAACAGTAATGTACAATGGATGCAGGTGAAAATAAAATGCCCCAGGCAAGTACAATAGGCAGGCCACTACAGTTCGATGGAAATACAATCATGATGTGAAATAGTCATCGTCTTTAGCCTGCTTAGCAGTTAAACTGATATCAGTTAAACCAAAATCACAATTATGATGTTAACTTAATCCACCCATGTGTAAATTGCAAAATTAATGTAGCAATTGCAGAGGATCGAGCTGGTGTGTGGATGTGGAAAACCAGATTAGTGACATTTTAACTTCCTGAAACTATGGCATTTAGATCTTGCTCAGGAAATAAATGTTCTTTGCACTAATCCTCCTTTCTGGGAAATTAGAAGAAGCTTCATTAAAGTCAATGGAATGATAGACCCCTTGTAAGTGGGGAATTATTAAATAATATTTAATTATTAAAGAGCAATAAACTAATTCAGGAATAGGATACTATTAAAATTACCCTTTATATTTCTCATTGCAATGACTACAGTGTAAAAGGTATTAATTTTTTTTATTATTCTGAGCAGTTGTTAGTATTGAAGATGATGATGCGTCCTTTATTTTCATTTTGCTGATTCTCCTTGTCCCCTCACTATGATATGATGGTTGCATGCCTGCGATTCAGGAAACAAATGATATAGTTAACTAAAGTCTACTCTGTGATGTTGTGCTGGCCACTGTGACGGATACCTTTTCATTTTGTCATGACACAAAAATTGGTTTTGCTGATAGGCAGTAGGACCAAGACTGAAAAATTGAATACTTTTGGCTGTTTGGAAAGGAAGTAAAAAGGCAAGTTCATTGATTCCTGCACAACTCATCAAATGTGCAGTTGGTGAGCTGTCCATCAATGTCTCGCAGCAGCAAACAGACAATGAAAACGGATATCAGTGTTCACGTGGGTGGTCCTAGCCTTAGTTATCATTTAGCATACTCTTATATTTTATAAATCCCTGTAAGATTCCCGTATTCACTGGAAGAGGGGATACATGTTGATTTACACGAGCAAAGAATGTGTGTATTCTAAGGGACATGCATTTAAAAATGGAGTTCAGCTTTTCCTGCATTTTTTTTTTTTTTAAGTATAAAGCAGGTAAGCTCTTTTTTATGATAAAATGGTACATAGGGCACTGGCTGTTTTGTGCTTCTGTTTGTACAAGCTCTATTACTAGAGATTCCTGCTCACAAGCAACCCCAGATACTATCAAAACATATCTGTCAAATAATGATATTATTAATCATAAGCATTTAAAATATTTCATCATATCACTGTGCTACTTAACTTCCTGGAAAACTCAGAGGGGGTCTCCAGACAGGTGTTGATACTCGCAAAGTTTAATACCATTGTTGTCACTTCTCCTTCAGTCCCTTGCTTCTCCATTCTGTCCAAACTTTCAATACCTTTTTCTCAATTTTCCCTTTTTTAACATGGCAAGAGCTTTGCTCTTGGGACCTTGTCTTGTTTGCTTAGCGAAACGCGTGTGCCTTTTATGTATGCTGCACAATAACAATAGCATCTGGAGGCCTGAAACCGCTTTGGAACTTCAGCACTTTCCACAGGTTCCTCTTAACTGGGAAGAACGGTCATTTATCACCTCTGGAGAAAGAGACGAGCACCAGAAGAGAGAATTTCATAGAAACAGCTGATGTTTGTATACTATGAGAACAATGGATAAAACAGACGTTCCTCGGGGACTGGAGGAATCTCTGCCAGTGGTTGTACCTATTGGGGGAAAAAGTACTTCTTAAGTGAAGGTTAAAGCGCATCTGGTGAACATGTCGAAGGCTACTTTGCAACCTCCTGACTCTGTTCGAGGCATATGGTGCGGTTTTGTTTTAGTGGGAAGGAGAGATTTAGCCATAGACAATTTGTGACCTCGCTGCCATCTGCCAGTACCATCTGTACTTTTCTCTGTGTGTCATTTTTCCATTTTATCTGCATTTTCTATATTGGCAAGGAATGAATTGGATTGTGTTAACTTGCGTTATTTTTAAAAGACAAGAATGAGTTTGCCCTGTGGTTAATTTAGGTGTGCTATAATAGTGTCCCTGTAGCACTTTATGGCCATTTCCCCTATCAAAGTAGTCATTTCTTGGACTATGTGGATAAAATAATGTTAATATATGTAACATCTTGATGACGTTCCTCTTTGGTTGTGGGAGTTTTTCTCTGCTTTCTGTAACTGTAGTTACTAATCATTTCTGATGAAACTTTCAGAAATTCAAAAAAAATTGATAAAGACAGTATGTTGGTAAGTTTAGGAAGCCACACTTGGTCAGGATGTTGTTTGCTTTGCTGTTTTTGTGGGAGGTTTGGGTTGGGAGGGGGAGGTTCTACATGTATTAAGCAGGATATAATTCTGTAAAAGTGAGTATGCGTCATCAGGAATGCGATGTACAGCCATTAGTCTGTCCCTTCCCATGCAAAGGTGTGCTGTGTATCATTAAATACTAAACGGGTAGGTAATAGTAAAGCCAAAGCATCGTCTGTGGATTAGAAAAGAGAATTTGTGAAGCCTTATAAAAAATTGATACTTTATATGAGCTTCCTGCTAAGTTGCTGTATAACTCCTTTTCCCAGATACGATGTGTTTGGTGTTGGTTTTAAGAATGATTGTGCTGTATTGTCACCTCAAGAAGAAAGGCTGTGTGCTTCTGACACTGAATTTCAGCCGAATGATGCAGTCAGTGTCTAATGTGCACACAGAGGGTTTTCTTGCAGTATTACATAATTATGTATATATATATTCAACATACATTCTGTTTGGGGTTTAGGCATGTCCCCTAGGTTTCTGTGGGGCTGGTGTGTCTCCAAGTATACTTCTCGTTATGGCATGCAGGTGGTTGGATTGCAGCAGCGCTGAACAGGCAGCTCTGTGTTCAGATGTGACCTTGCACCCAGTCAGGTTCAGAAGCAGCATTTTGAATGTGGTGTTCCGGTAAATGGTTCGCTTACCTGGAGAAATTGTTCAAAACAGACACCACAAAGGTAGGCTAATGCCATTAGATGACTTGCAACATTGAGATTTTACTCTTGGCCTTGTTTGGGCTCAATTGCAGTTTAACCAGATGCAAAAATACATAGACAGTGACTTGGCTATAACGGAGCCGGACCTGCAGGACAAAGGCTGGGTCTGCGTGTTGGAGAGGGTGGCAGAGGCAGCTGCTAGAAGGTGTGCCAGCAAGACTTTGTATTCCTAGTTGAGACCGAACCTGGGAAGAGGCTTCAAAGTAGTAAGTACAATACTTATGTGTCCATGAAAACTTGGAATTTGTTGTTAGGCTACTAGTTTTTTTTTTATTAGGAGCACGTTGTTTACTGTGTCCTGAAGTTATCTTGCTACAGGAGAAGAGGTTCCAAACACCAGAGCTGTGCCGTGTTTTATACAGCGGTGAATCAGTGTTGCTCTGTCCTTCTCCTACTTCGAGGTGTTATATAGATGTCAAGTCTCATCCAGTAAACCCTGCAAGGATTCGGAAAACACAAGGTAAGTGTCACAATAAACGTTCTATGATAGCGGTGCGCTTGTATGCTACAGTTCTGTCGAATAATTAATGTTTCTGACAGTGAACTAAATCTTTCTGTGTCCTCTATGCCTAGAATGAGTAGAGACAGTGTCACTACTGCCAGTAATTGCTGGAAGCGGAGGAGAAGGGTAAGCAATGTGGAAAAATTGACAATGCACTATGTAGGGCACTAAATTATTTTCTCATGTACTCCCTTTTCTTTTCTTTTACAGGAGCTGTAGAATATTGGCATGTGGAGAAGTGCTGAGTTGTTATGCCTACTCTGGCTGGTTGTTTTTAATAAAGTTATTTTCATGATAATTGAAAAATGTCTCGTGGTCCCGCTTCCCTTCCCATCAACTTCAGTTCATCCTATTTCAAAACTAACATGTCTGTGCTGAAAATCTTTGTCCATTCAGTTACCCAGCATCAGTATTTGCTTCTGACTAGACAATTCTATAATCATCCAGGTAACAAGCTTGAGCAGCGGGAAAGAAGAAAAATTGTACGTGTGTATATTTTTCCTGTATGCTCAGTCCTTAAGGAAAGTTTAATTAATCACAGAATTGCAAATTGTTGCATGCAGATTGTAGAAGACCCTTTTGTTTACTCATTCAGACTTTTGATTTACCAAAGTTGACAGCAGTGAGGTATTTTCATTTAGTATGAATTCAGAATTTTGAAACATAATTTAGACCCTGTCTATGTAATCCAGTTAACTCTATTATATCAATTATCCAGCATTTCTCATGTGAATTAATATGATCCTTTTTATTTTAGTGGTAAGTGAATTATGTATTAATCTACATTTACATTAGCAAGTGAAACTCTATTGTCTGTAGTAATGTAGTATTACTCTGTGGCTACTCTTGCAGTTCTTTTGGTAATTTTGGGTTTTGCATTCAAATACAATGGAAGATGAAAATGGAAATACAAAATAACCTGGTAAGGGAGGGACAGAAAATATGGCAGTGTTGAAGTTCTCCACAGAATTAACTGAAAAAACTTAGGGGTCACTGTTCACTAGTGAAATACCATAAAAAATCCACTGAAGATAACAGGGAGAAGCGTTAGACAAAATAAACCAACAAGCTGGTAAAGAAATGAAAGGATAAAAAATTTCTTTGCAATTAAGAGCATTAATAATTCTATTAATAGATGTCCACACATTGCTGTTAATGGGTGGGATTGTCACGGAAATAATGACCTTAGTCTCCAAAAGCATAGGATTTTAAGTATTGAAGGGAACAAAGAGTTAAATCCACTGAAGAACTTCAATACTGCACTGTTGAAATTGTCCTGCCTAAGTCCTACCTCTGTTTTGGGCAGAGAACAGCCTGTTAGGTACACACTCGCAGCATGCCTGCTGAGCCCCGCTGCTGGCACAGGCTGAAACTTCTGCTTTTGGCTCTCTGTTGGCTTTGGCATGGGATAAGCGCCAAGTAGTTCAGTGCGGTCAAGACCTAAGTATCTCTGCGCAGGCCAAGAATACTGAAAATTGATGCCTATAGGGACTTTTTTCAAGTTTTTTTTCAGAGTTGTAGTTGACTGGAAATTTTGAGAATCACGGTGTTGAACTTAGGAGAGTTACCTTCATGTTGCTCATGATTCCTAACCAAAAGCCCCTGCAAGCCAATGAATATTTCCAAAAGGGATTTGAAATCAAGATGAAGTTTGTGACTCAGTTCACATATGAAGTGAACTTGTTTTTTTTCCTGATCTGCTCCAAATCACCTAAACCTGAAAAACGGATAGATCATGAGTAGTGTTGACAAAGCCTAGCATGTATAAGAAATTCAGTGTGATGTTTAAAGCAAAGCTAGGAGTATTTTCTTGTCCTCTCTTTAACTTACATTCTCATTCTCTGTACTTTCTCTCTTTTGTACCCACCTGAATTTTTTTCTTTTCCTTTCCATGCCCCTGCAGCCTTTCCTTTTTCATTAGTGTCATAAATGGCACAACAGTTCTGTTTAGCTTTAATGGAGGGAGAGGCAGACAGACGGACAGGCAGACACACATAAACACACACACGTTTTAATCATTTGTAGTTGTAATATCTCCTCCGGTAACCAGAAATGATACAGCCTTTGAAAAATGAGAGTTGTGGTTTGCACTAAATTGCCTAGTTCATAAAATATGAATGCTCAGCAAATTAATACAGCAATGTTAACTTAGTTAATCAGCTTTAGAGAAACAAAAGAGTGTATTTGTTACTATAATATGCACTTGTGTGAGACATTAGTGAAAAATAGGAGCTGCATCTTTTTCTGAATTTATTCTACACTTTGCTTATTACTCTCATTCAATTAATTTAAATTTGTTCTTGGGGTAAGAAAGGTTTACTTTTGACAGGCAAAATTTAGCTGTCTTTTGTGCCATGTTTTTATTTGAGTCTGTAGGGTAGATTGTCTTTCTATGCATTGAATATAATGCCAGCTGTGCTTGAAATTGTTTTGTATATTCTGGTGGCCTTATGGGGTAGACATTTGAAATTGTTGAGCTCTAAGTGGTCTTATGTAGTATGTTATTAGAATATATGCCATAAAATATGAAATTATAAAATTAAAATTAATACCTGCCTCAGTGACAATAACAGTATGACTCTCACTACTTGTGTTATCTTAAGTTTCTTTGTACCTCTATACTTTGGGCAATGCAATTAAGAGAAGGAAAAAAAAAAAAAAGACACCACAGTTAACTATATTCATTTAATGAATGTTGAAAGGAAGATGCCCCAAACAAAAAAAGTAAACTGTTTTTATTTTGGTCATTTTCTTATAAGTCTTTGTAGAGTGATTTTAATGGAAATTCCATTCTAGAAGGTTTCTTGCCTGATGGAGAGTCTCTTTTCAAGGTAAGGTAGTGCTACAGCATCTCATTCTTCCACTTAGTAGTGAATCCTGTGTTGAAATAGGATGGCTGACTCTTGGGGAAAAAGGTGAGTGCTATATAAATCTTACAGTAACGGATCAAGCCATTTTTAAATTAATTTACTTTGAGAAGTAAATTTGAGAAGTAAGGATGATATGGAGACAAGCAGTCAATGGACCTTTCTTAAATCCCAGTGTTTCTTAGAGGTCATCATAGCTTTCTTTTCATATGTTTTTCCCGGGTTTACATATTTTAAGCTACATATTTTAGATGTCATATGGTAAAAAATGATCTCTCAATACTTCATTCCGGTAGAAGTGGATTACCTCACAAAATCATTAAAGAAATATGTAAATTTAATCCCTTATGAGTGGTTTGCAGATGTCATATAGCTAGTGATTTGTGTGAACAGTGCCAGAAAGACTGTATCCTACTTCATACTGTTGCGTTATAGCTTCTTCATTGGTAGATGCAGTTGTAGTGGATAGAGGACATCCAAAGGACAATTGAAACTTATGCGTTTTATTATGACCCTTATGCATTGGATTTAGCATCTGTTGGCCATGAATCAGTTCAGTAACCATGCAGTTCAGTGTGTTCATTCATGTGCAGTGGGGATCTAATAGTGTTTGGGGAAAAAAAAAAAATCAGAATCATCTTTAAGTTTAAAGCTTTAATTCTTTCTTATGTGAGAAACTGCCGTGGGTACTTGAGGATGAAATGTGTTCCCAGTGCCTTGCTGCGTGTCTCTCTTCTGCGCTCTGGATTTTGGTGGTGCTAGTTTTCCATCTCACCCATGCAGTGGAAATGGGAACCTACTCTATTCTTGTTTAGGTACAGTGAAGAATATGATGGGGGAAACGGTGCATTTTTAAGAAGTCCACCCTCTGCCCCTCCAGCTCCCAAAAAATCCACAGTTTCCCAAGTATTCTATGAATCAAAAGCTTACATACATGTTTATGAAGTTTGTTCTGTCAATAAAGTATGCTAATAAAAATTCATGAAAATACAGGGATGTGATTTAATTCTTCTTCTCGCAAATACGTTCCTTGACGTAACATTACCATTTTCCCTTATTCTGTGCTCCTTACTCTTCATGGTGTCAGGGTGTATACCATCAATCATTTCCTTTATCCTTTTGTTATCTTTATTGCTTGCTCAATCTCTTCTCTGCAATATATTTATTTTTACCCTTCGTTCTTTTGCTGTCGATGTTCTAAAAAAAAAAAATTGATGCTTCTGTTGATAGTACAGCTGTGCTGGTAGACTTGCTTGCAAGATCTTCTGCTGTTCAAAAGATTCGGTTACTTGCTGTCATTACTCTTGTGTCATTGTTTTTGAGAGAACAGCTTTTCAGCTGTTTAATTCCTTTATATGGTTTTCCTTTTATTTTTAATTGTTTAGCACACCTCTGTGTCTTGCAGCCATTTCATATGCCCTGGTTATTTTGGTATCGCTATTACCTTTGCTCTTGATGTTACCTTTTTTCTTTTCTTAACAAAAATCTTTATTGTTAAATCTTCTGAATTATTTATAAGTCATATAATACCACCTGCATATATTATTCTAAACTTATTTTATTTCTTTTATGTTAGAGCTTAAAACCTCCTTTGTAATTCAGTAATAAATGCTAGCCTTCAGTTTTTTCAGGTTTCTTCGACCTCCGGGATCCTACTCTCCTTTGGTTGTTTATGAGGGGTACTGCAACGCATTGAGCTACATACTTAATTAAATAGTTTAGAGTTTGATTTACCTCTTTGCTATCTCTCTCTTCATATATTAACTTCCCTGTGCAATATATTTGGAGTGTTTCCTGGTCTATAATATATTATTTACGAGCGTGCAAATATCTTTTTTTCTAATTCTTAATCCTTTATCCAAGAATAGTACTTGATGCTTATTGCCTGTTTAACTTTAAAGGAATGGCGATTTAAAAAGCAATTTTCTTTTGCATTAGGCCACCTTTTTTCTCCCTCATGTACTTCTCTATTTCTATTCACTGCCTATCTGAAATTTCTGTCCTCTGGAGATTGAGTTGGTGTGCCTGTGGGCAGTCCTGTTTCCTTAGATGGTATTAGTCGAGTGGAAGTCATAGAAGCGCGGGATAATTCAGGATGAAGGGACATTAGAGGGTGTCTGATCCAACCTCCTGCTCAAAGCAGGGTAGGCTGTGACACCAGGTTGCTCAGGGCTGCTTTACCCAGCTGAGCCTTGAAAACCTCTAAGGATGGAGACCGCACAACTTTTCTAGGCAGCCCGGTCCAGTGCTTCACTGTCGAAATAGTAAAAGGCATTGTGCATATATCTACTCAAAACCTCTCATTTTAATGTATTATTTGTGTGGAAGTATTCTGGAATTTATATTTCTGCTATTTGCTACCATGTATTTTAGATACTGTTAAACAATTGCTTACTGA